CCACCACCACCACCACCACCACCACCACCACTTAAAATTAGAATTAAAAATAAATAAATAAATGAAATAAAAAGTCAAGCATCCTGTTTTGAAGGGCCAAGGCTGGACCCAATAATTGTCAAGTAGAAAGGGAAATCTAAAAAAAAGCAGAAAACCATGAAGAGAAAACTCCAAATTCTTCCAAAAAAAAAAATCTGCCCCCAAACTCCAAAACTCTGAATTACATGCTTGAGGGACAGATCGCAAGCCCACCAGTTACAGCTAAAAAAATTAATTAATTAATTAAAGTTCCTGAATCCTCTGTTTGTAATTTGAGTTTAGTCAAGTTAACTAGCTGCTAAAACAACCATTTCTTTAAAAAGTTAAAACATTTTAGAGGAACATGACAGTGTCCCATGAACTGCATATTACAATGCCTAGAGTATAATCCAAAATTACTGGACACATGAAGCAAGTGGAAAATATTACCTACACAAGAGAAAAAGGAAGTCTATGACAACCCACTGTGAACGACCCAGATGCTGGAATTAGCCGGCAAGAATTTTAAAGTAGAATATTATAGCTACGACAATGTCTCACAGACAGCTAGTAGAAAATATCAAAGAAAACCAGTGTTTTGGTCTCACAGGGCAGAGAAAATTTCCACCATGAACCCTACCTAAGCCCGCAGGAAGGAGCTGAATTGACAAGAAGAAAGCAAATGAGAAATCTGGCCTCTCAGTGGTGGCTCACAGCTGTAATCCTAGCGACTCAGGAGGCTGAGATTTGAAGATCACATTTCGAAGCTAGTGTGGGCAGGAATATTGAGATTATTATTTCCAATTAACCAGCAAAAAGCTGGAAGGGGAGGTGTGGCTCAGGTGGTAGAGCACCAGCCTTGAGCAAAAATACTCAAGGACAGCATATAGACCTGAGTTCAAGCCCCAGGACCAACACACACACACACACACACACACACACACACACACACGTGTGTGCACATGTGAACACACATGTATGCACACACACACACACACATATACACACAATGACCTATCCAGGGTCATCCCTCAGGACATGTCCTCTCTTCCTGCCCCCTACCCCTGTGACAATATGTCATGATTTTCAGGAGAGCTGCAGACAAAGGTACAGGATGACCATATGCCACTGTTCACAATGGGCATTGTTAAGAGCGCCCTTGGTCAAGGTGCCATGAGGTTTTGCTCCATTCTAGCCTGAACTCTGTTCTCTAAGCCAGATGGATCTCTATCTGTTCAGAATTGGCTCGTGCTGGATTCTGTTTTCCTCCAGGAGACGAGGAAGCAAAATGAGCAGTCTATTCAGGAGGGGACTCTGGGAAGCATTCCATGACACGGATGTGGAGCCAGGAGTGTGGGTGAGTTAGTGAGCAGATTACTTGTGTGACCCATCCACTGGGGTCACACTGTAGAACATGACTCACAGCTGAGCGCCAGTGGCTCACACCTGTCATCCTAGCTACTCAGGAGGCTGAGATGTCAGGATCACAGTTCAAAGCCAGCCTGGGCAGGAAAGTCCAAAAACAAAATCCTCTCATCTCATCTACCAACTCCCCATCTGTCACTGGATGACGATACCCCAAGGAAACCAGCTCTAGCACTGTGCTACGGGGGGCCTTGTCCTGACCTGTACCAAGCCCAGCCCTAGAGCCAAAATCCTCCATCCATCTTTTTTTTTTTTTTTTTACTCCTGGGGCTTGAACTCAGGGCCTGGGCACTGTCCCTGAGCTTCTTCTGCTCAAAGCTAGCCCTCTTCTACTTGAGCCATAGCTCCACTGCTGGTTTTTTCTATTTACGTGGTACTAAGGAATCGAACCTAGGGCTTCGTGCATGCTAGATAAACACTCTACCACTAAGCCACATTCCCAGCCCTTCCACCCCATCTTTAGACACAGGTACTGACCGGTGCCGGGTACACTTAAACCAGTTGAGGATATCCGTGCATCTTGTGTAGTAGATCTGATCGAAGGGGTGTGCGTAGGACTCCTGGACCGTCACCGCATAGCTGAGGACCAGAGAGGAGACAGAAATCACAGTCAGCACTAGACAGGCCAAGCTGGTCAGCAAGACACACTCCCCTCCCCAGGTACACAGCCCTGAGACCACGCTCTGTCCTCTTCTTCCACAATGCCGACCTCCTGCCCTAGACGCCCAAGCCCAAAGACCTCCCTGGCCCCAGGCTGGCCCCAGGACACTGGCTTGCTGATTTCCTGAAATCCCTTATTTACCAGAGAGAAAATAAAGGAGGATTTAAGTTTCTGCTGGGTGGTTCTGAAGGTACAGTCAGTAAGTTTAAAAGTATTTCATGTTAGCCCAGGACAGCAGTACACACCTATAGTCTCTGCTACTCAGAGAAAACATCGTGAACTCAGGAGTCAAGGTAAACCTGGACAACTTGGGCAGGTACTCTACCACTAAGCCAGGCCTCCGGTCCCAATTTTTTGCTGGTTATTACTGGATAGGGTCTGGCTTCCTGCCTACAAGTTTATCAATTTTAGCTTTTCCTGGTTGCTCAGATGACAGACCCATGTTACCATGTCCAGCTTCCCTCCATTGAGATGAGGGCTCTTCTACTCAGGCTGTCCTAGATCTGTGATCTTCCCACTCTTAGTCTCCCAAGTAGCTGAGATTACAGGTATGCACTACCAAAATACAGCTTTGTTTGTTTATATCTTAATGGTTTTCAAATGAAGTGAAGTAAGCCGGGCACTGGTGGCTCACACCTGTAATCCTAACTACTGAGGAGGCTGAGATCTGAGGATCGCAGTACAAAGCCAGCCTGGGCAGAAAAGTCTGTGAGACTCTTATCTCCAATAAACCACCAGAAAACCGGAAGTGGCACTGTGGCTCAAGTGGTAGAGCACTCGCCTTGAACTGAAGAGCTGAGGGACAGCGCCAGGCTGTCAATAAAAATAAAAATAAAGAAGAAGAAGAGAAGTGTCCCATTTTATAGATGAAGAACGAAGAACCCAAGGCTGAGAGAGGTAGCTGGCCGGTATCTCCTGTCTAACTCCTTTTAATTTGCAGCCCATCTCATAAAGTCGTGGAATTGCTATTTTCACTTTATACATGAGGAAATGGAGCATCAGATAGAATAAATTACTTCCCTAAGCTCATCCCACCCAGAACCTTCTAATCTGTTCTACTTTTTAGTATAGTTGGGGTACATGGAGGATGTGCCCTGGACCTCGTGGTAGAAAGCGCAATTACTTAAAAAACAAACAAACAAAAACAAAGGGCTGGGAATGTGGTGTAGTGGTAATGTGCTTGCCTTTCTAGCCTTAAACAAAAGAAGCTCAGGGACAGTGCCCAGGCCCTGAGTTCAAGCCTCAGAACTGGCAAAACAAAAGATCAAGCTGCGGGCTGGTGGCTTGTGCCTCTAATCCTAGCTATTCAGGAGGCTGAGAGCCGGGATTTGAGGTTCAAAGCCAGCCCAGAAGTCCATGAGATTCTTATCACCAATAAACTACTCAGAAAAAGCCATAGTGGCACAGTGGCTCAAGTGGTAGAGCACTAACCTTGAGCACAAAGAGGCTCAGGGACAGTTCCCAGGCCCTGAGTAAAAGCTCCAGGACTGGCAAAAAGTAATAATAATAAATAATAGCCATTCTTTTAGGGGTCGGAGGCGTGGCTCAGGTGGTAGAGCACCAGCCAATGAATGAAAGCATCCGTTACTGAATTTGAGTCCAAGTTAAAAAATAAATAAATAACAAAACCCAGAGGGGATAATTATGCTCCTGCCTATTGGCGGGGAACCTGACCCAGCAGGGAGCAGTGTTGGGGTACCAGAACTCAGCTGCAGCAGTGAAAGTATCCCCCTGTGTCCTGGCAGGGCGGTGAGCGATGGCAGAGACCTGAGCAATGCTGAAACGTGGGGGACACCCCCACTCCCACCCTCATCCCCCACACACACTCAATAGCACCTCAGCTGCGGTCTCGGGAATTAATTTTCTTGTTGGCTTGGCTCTGTTTCCCCCAGAAGGCTGTCTGGCTGACCTGAGCCAGATGGTCTGGTCCAGGCCATAAAAGCCCATCTGCTTTGCCTGGAGAAGCGGTTGGTTCAATGGCAAGGCAGCTGCGCATGCGTGGGTCCACGCTGATTCTCTGAAGTCTGTAAGGTCAAAAGCCTGTAATCCAGTAGCAAGCCAGGCACCATCAATGGTGCTCAGGGACCCAGGTCTTGGGGAATTCTGTCTGAGATGCTGAGGATGGATACAGGGCTCTGGGTGTGCCCCCATTAATAAGTACACTAGAGATGAACCCCAGAAACACAAATAGGGCCCAAGAGCCTGTTCGTCAGAGTACCCAGGCTCTGGAATACAAAAGCACAAGACCAACTTTGAAGCTTGTCATTTATTAGCATGACTTGAAATGTGTAATTTTTCTCAGTGTGTGTATGTGTACCAATACTGGGGCTTGAACTCAGGGCCTGGGCACTGTCCCTTACTTTTTTTGCTTAAGGCTGGTGCTCTACCACTTGAGCCACAGCTCCTCTTCTAGCTTTTGCTGGTTCATTGATGATGTCTCATGGACTTTCCTGCCCTGGCTGGCTTTGAACTGCAATCCTCAGATCTCGTTCTCCTGAATGGCTAGGATTACAGGTGTGAGCCACTGGCACCTGGCTTAATATGTGCTATTTAACACCTATAAGCCTCCGTGTCCCTGCACACAGATCTAGGATAAATACCAGTGACTCTCGTAGCTATCGTAAGGATTAAGACACCTCTCAGAATGGTGGGAAGACCAAACATGCATATCAAGTGCTTGTCCGGCATACAGTAGGTATCTAATAGATGCTGGCCATTGTCACCTGCCATCTCAGCACTGAATGTGTTTTCCTCCTAACCATGTAGGCAGGAAGAGAAAGAGAGGAGAAGGAAAGGAGGGGGCAGGGCAAAGTAAAGCAAGATCTATATGTAGAATGGACGCCCCACCTTTGCTAAGCATCAGGGGGTTCAGTCTCCACTTCTGGCACTGGCAAGGACAGTGGGTGCCTAGAAAAGTCAGCAGTCCATCAACAAGGGGTGGCAGGGTCCTGAGGGTGGACCCCACTTCCATAGGATTCCCTGGGTTGAGCGACTCTGCCAATAAGGCCTTGCACCAACTTGCAAGTCTGTGACCTGTAGCCTGGGCCCTGATTTCACAGTTGGGTGGATTAACACTGCTCATTTGCCAACATGCTAATGAGGAGCCCATGAATCTTGTAGAGCTAGGCTTTACCACCCTACAATGGGTGCTGCACTGGGTTTGATGGTAGCAGGGAATAATTAACAAGGAGCCCACCATAGCAGTGCTAATCTAGTGGGGAGATCTGCCCTATGGGGTCTCTGAAACTGGCCGTGAATGGTGAAAGCTAGATCCAACCATGCACAACTTGCAGAGGAATTCCTTTAGAAGACCGAAGCAGGAGGAGGAAGCTGGCATCAGTAGGCCTCAGGGGGGAGCCTGAAGGATCCCAGATCTTGGTTTTACTGTCTCTCTTCATTCTTGGTCCTCTATCTCAAATATAAGCTCCACTGAAGGCCCCAGCCCCCAGAATAATCAGCTTGCTCCCAACATTTTATGTCCCACACTTACTCACATTGGATTTCCAAGCTGGGTTAAATTGGAAGCCAGAGGTTCACGCCTTTCATCCTAGCTACTCACGAGCCTGAGATCAGAGGATCCAGGCTCTGAGGATCAAGATTCAAAGCCAGCCCAGAAGAGTCCATGAGACTCTTATCTTTAATTAAATCATCAAAAAGCCAGAAGTAGAACTGGAAATCAAGTGGTAGAGTTACTGGCCTAGAACACAAACACTCAGGGACAGAACTCAAGCCCAGAGTGCAAGTCCAGCATCAAAAAAAAAAAAGTCACTAGAGACCACACCAGTGTAGGCAATGTCTACAAGAGTCCAGGCCCACCCCCCCCCCCTCAGAGGCAGCTCTGATTGGGTGAGGTGTTTTCTCTGCCCCGGGGTCAGCCACTTACCTTCTGGGGAATGATATATGACCACACCCCCCCTTGCCTCCCTCCTCTGCGACCCTCCCCCACCCCTGAATCAAGGCTTCACTTAATTTTATTCATTTGATTTATTAGCATCTAAGTGGCAGAGTTGTCCTGGTCAGCATGACCAATCAATTCCAGGGTTTGATTGGGGGGGGGGTTCCCCCCTTTTTTTTTTATTCTGATTGGATCTCTGGTCACTGTCTTTCTTGCTCACCAAAAATCAATACTTTCACCTTGTGCTTCAAAGTCAGACCAGCTGCAAGGTCCCAGCCATTCTCCTCCCCACAGGACAAAGTGCTGCAGCCAGAATGCAGGGATTCCTTCTGCTGCTGTGGCCTCAGCGACCCCTTCCTCAATCAGTCCCCAGTCCCTAGCAGATTAAGCAGCAAAGCCCTCTTCCAGCCTCCATCAGGCCTCAGCCCAGCTGCCAAGTGAATGCTAGGGACGGGGGGGTCCCAGCATCAGAGAACATCTAACAACAGAGTCCTCATCCCCCCACCCTCTGATCCTTATTTGACCATGAGTATGGATAAAGCTCCTCTGGGCCTCTATTTCTTCATCTGTAAAATGGGTAGGAAGCTGCCAGGCGTAGGTGGCTCATGCCTATCATCCTAGTTACTCAGGAGGCTGAGAGCTGAGAATCATGGTTGGAATTCAATCTAAGCAGGAAAAAAAAAAGGTCTGTGAGATTCTTATTTCCAATCAACCAGCAAAAAGGCAGAAATGGAATTGTGGCTCCGGTGGTAGAACACCAGCGCGCCTAGGCCCTGAGGGCAAGCCCTAGTTACCAGCACAATCACAGGCACAGGCAAGGACAGCACGCTGTCAAGGTCAAGTTCAGTGAGTAAATACAACTCTCCATCTCAGCCTGGCCCTGTCCTTTAGTATCTGAGCTGTGCCACAGCCAGACTGCACGCTGCTGTCTCTGCAGATTCTGTGTCTGCATTACCCAGTCAAGCTCTCTAGGGATGCCTAGTTGAAGCCCACAGCTTACCTCTCCCAGTGGCTGCACACATTGGGGTCCTCAGGGTTTAGGGTGAAGACAGTTTGCAGGAAAGAGACAACCAGCAGGCTGGCCACGGGGAGCGCCATCAGGGCCTGAAGGGAAGGAGAAAGAAAGATGGTGTCTTACTTCAAACCCAGACTTGTATGGGGGCAGCTGTTGGGTACTGGGGTAAGGGGAAGCATGCTCACAAAGTCTCCCATCCCTGAGGTATAATACATACTTGCTTTTTTTACATCTGCTCGCTCACCAGTTCTGAGTAATGAACTGCACAGGAGAAAGCTTGGGTGGGGGTGGGGGGGGTCAGTGGGGCCAGGGAGGGGGTGGGGCAGGAATTCCAGTCCCAGGGCTTGAACTCAGGACCTGGGCACTGCCCCTGTGCTTTTGTGCTCAAAAAAAGTTAGCACTCTACCATTTGAGCCACAGCTCTACTTCTGGCTTTTTGCTAATTGGAAATCAGAGTTGCTGAGACTTTGCTGTCCAGGCTAGCTCCCAACCTTGATCCTCAGATCCTCCTGAGTAGCTGGGATTACAGGCAGGAGCCATCGGCACAGGCTCTGAGCCTAGCCTTGACCCAGAAACCCAGAGCCTTCCCCTGTTCGGCAACCCGATCTTTGACAAGTCTGACCATCCACTTCCTCTCCTTGCTCTATCTTGCCACAAACAAGAGTAGAAGGGCATCTGGGCCCCTTCCAGGAGGTGCCAGTTGCTAGCTGCCCAAAAGGCTAACCACTGTCTTTGCTGCCTCCTGTAAGGTATGAACCACCTATACTCAGGATGATGAAACCAAGTACCATCCCTACAGCCTGGGAAAGGTCTCCTCCCCATTGGCTGCAATTCCTTTTAATGCCAGCATGCGGCAGATGTTCAATGTGCACACAGCCATGCCAACCCTGTTCACTAAAAGGGGGATCGCTGCCACAGGACTCCTCAAAGAGGACAGTGAGTGGCAGTGACTGAAGACTCTAGCATCCTGTGGCCCCAGCTCAGACAACAAGTTCTAAGCCAGGAGCTGGTAGCTCAAGCCTGTCATCCTAGCTACTCAAGAGGCTGAGATCTGAGGATCGAGGTTTGAAGCCAGCCTGGGCAAGAAAAGTCCATGAGACTCTTATCTCCAATTAACTGTCAGAAAACAGGAAATGATGCTGTGGCTCAAAGTGGTAGACCCCCACCCTCAAGCTCAGGGATAGAGGCCAGGCCCTGAGTTCAAGCCCAATGACCGACCAAAAACAAAAAGCCAGAGATTTGAAAAAATTATGGGTTCATGCCTGTAAATCTAGTTACTCAAAAGACTGAGACCTGGGCTGGGAAGTTGGCTCAGTGGTAGAGTGCTTGCCTTGTGTGCATGAGGCCCTGGGTTCGATTCCTCAGCACCACATAAACAGAAAAGGCTGGAAGTGGCGCTGTAGCTCAAGTGGTAGAATGCTAGCCTTGAGCTGAAGAGCTGAGGGACAGCACCCAGGCCCACAGTTCAGGTCCCAAGACTGACAAAAAAAAAAAAAAAAGACAGACCTGGTCAGTTCAAAGGCAGACAAGAGAAAAAAGGCTGAGAGACGTCACCTCAAATAATCAACCAAATGCTAAAATGAAGGCATGGTTCAAATGGTAGAGCAACAGCACCTGTGAATAAGGAAGTCATGTGAGAAGCTAGATGCTGGTAGCTCATGCCTGTAATCCTAGCTACTCAGGAAGCTGAGATCTGAGTGAGGATGGTGGTTTGAAGCCAGTCCAGGTCTGTGAGACTCTTATCTGTAATTAACCACCAAAAAACCAGAAGTAGAGCTATGACTCAAGTGGTAGAGTGCCAGGATTGAGTGAAAAAGCTAAGGGACAGCACCTGAGTTCAAGCCCCAGTAGTGATACACACACACACACACACACACACACACACATTTCAAATCCAAGCATTTCCATCTGCCAGGCTGCTGACCTTGGGTGTGGGGGAGGGGAGGGGCCCTCCAGAGGACCCAGAAGTCCCCATACCATCTACAGAATGAATGAATGAATGAATGAATGAATGCACACCGTAACTGGCCCAGATGGTGCTGATTTTTTTTCCCCTATGTACCTAGAGGCTATTATGATTTACTTAAAAGCTTTATGGAAGTCAGAATGGCGCTTCTCCTTAACCAATGAACTCAACAGCACAATTCCTCTATGGGGGATGGGGGCCAGGGGTGTTTGACTCTGGAAAGGGATTGCAGGTTTGAAATGGGAAATCTAGACTTTGATCCTGGGTTCCCAGATAAGGCTCACTCACGTTGTTTAGGGAACAGATAACAGGGCATGTATTTCTCACACACATATACATACGTGCACAGGTACACGCATGCATGCATGCACTTGCCTAGAACCCAGCCACACTGCACCAGTTTAATGGAAAGGTTAAATTCCTCTCCTCCCCACCCCAGTCATTTCCTTGTTAAACTCCTTCTTAAACTGCTCTATCAGAGACAAATTGTCACAAATTTTGTATAACCGTGGGGGACCAAACTCATGATTAATGAGGTTTTACTTGCTATTAGAGATCTGGAAATTAGCTAGCTAAATGTAGATTTCGCCCCACTTCAAATGCATTCTACAGTCCATTAAGAAAGAAAATTCTAAAGCTGGTGGCTCAAACCTGTGAGCCTAGCTACTCAGGAGGCTGAGACCTGAGAATCAAGGTTCGAAGCTAACCCAGGCAAGGAAGTCTGTGAGACTTACTTCCAATGAAGTACCCAAAAATTCAAATGTGGAGCTGTGGCTCAAGTGGTAGAGTGCTAACTTTAGCAAAAGCTCAAGGACAGTGCCCAGGCCCTAAGTTCAAGCCCCAGGACTGGTGCGCATGCATACATACATATTCCCCCCCCTCCCCCCACACACACAAGAAAAGACTCTAGAGTTCCTACCCAACAAGCAGAGCCCAGAAAGCATGGCCACTCTTGGGTCCTGAGCCCTGCCTGGATCCACCCTGCCTCAAAACTCAGTAGTTACCCTTTACCACTGAATTCCCCAGAACTATTACATCGCTCCATTCTCCTCTGGGAGAATCAAGATAAGGAAAAGGAGCATCTCCAGAGCAGGGAATGGAGTTTGGGGAGAGTCAGCAAGGCACCCACATCTCCAAGGAAAGATTCAACTCAGGTTGCTCAAGCATCATATTTAGAAAGAAGCAACAAAGCCCAGAACAAGTGGTTCACACCTTCATCCGGGCTACTCAGCAGACTAAAATCTGAGCTCATGATTCAAAGCCAGACCAGTTAGTAATGTCCATGAGACTCTTATCTCCAATGAACCACCTAAAAATCAGTCACTGGGGCTTGAACTCAGGGCCTAAGTGTCTCTCTCCCTTAACTCTTTTTTTTTTTTTTAATCTCAAGGCTGGTGCTCTACCACTTAAACTATAGCTCTACTTCCAGTTTTTCTGCCCAAACTGGCTTGGAATCTCAAACCTTAGCTTTTAGCCCCTAACATTTTTTTTTTGCAAGTCCTAGGGCTTGAATTTAGGGCCTGGGTACTGGCCCTGAGCTCTTTTGCTCAAGGCTAGCACTCTACCACCTGAGCCACAGTGCCACTTCCGGCTTTTTCTGCGTACGTGGCTGAGGAATCAAACCCAGGTCTTCATGCATGCTAGGCAAGCACTCTACCACTAAGCCACATTCCCAGCCCTCCTTTACCCTTTTGTCCTCAAGTCTGAACTTCTAAATACCTTCGACTCAACTGTAAAGACTGGCAATGGGCTGGACACGGATGGTGTGTCCTAGGCCACTGTAGCAGGTGTTTTACAGCTGGGTCTTCCACCCCAGTGAGCTTAGCGCCACCCCTCCCCCACACACATACTGACACCTTCCCGGCATGCTTACTTTATCTTTCTGACACATCATAAGCACCCCAAGGCAGAGTCAAGCCCCCATCTGCCTTTTCAGAAGGTGATCTTAGAGAAAAAAACAATTTCAGCTTGTCTGAGACACTTCACTGAAGAAGAGAAAAGAGCAATCAGAAAGGAGGTGTCACTACCTTAGGGTGACACCTGCCACCCGATCATTTCAATGGGACTTCCCAGCTCTCTCTTGAAAGACAGATTCCAAAGACGTAAGCTTATGAGATGACGGAGGGAAAAAAAAAATCAATCCTGTCACCTGATTATTAGGCTGACTCTATCTGGAGTGACAGAGGTTAACATCTCAGGTGCCCTCTGACTGGGAGCATTTATAACAAACGGAGAGCCAGAGTGCTGGTGGCTCACATCTGGAATCTTAGCTACTCAGGAGGGTGAGATCTCAAGATCACAGTTCAAAGCCAGCCCGGGCAGGAAAGTCTGTGAGACTCTTATCTCCCAATTAACTACCAAAAATAGCTGAAGTGGAGCTGTGGCTCAAGTGGTAGAGCACTAGCTTTGAGCACCTGGGCTGGATAGTTCAAGCCCCAGGATTGGCAGAAAGTAATAGTAACAACAATAATAATGATCATGACCTGAACTGATCAGAGGCACACTCCTGAGGCACCCCATTTGAACCCTACCATGCTATGGGGATGCAGAAAAATAACACACTTTGGCTGTCATCCAGACAGGAAACTAAAAGCAGCCAATAGCGTTGAGTGCAGTAATGAAAGCCTGTAATCCTACATACTGTGCCGGCAATGGCTGGAAGATCCCAGGTCAAGGCTAGCCTGGGCATAAAAATTCACAAGACTGGCTCTGGTGGCTCACATTTGTCATTTTAGCTATTCAGGAGGCTGAGATCTGAGGATTGCCATTCCAAGCCAACACTGGCAGGAAAGTCTATGAGATTCTTATCTCCAATTAACCACCAAAAAAATAAAAAAAAAAAGTGGAGCTGTGGCTCCACTTGTGGTGGAGCATTAGCCTTAAGCAAAAAAAGTTAAAGGACAGCACTCAGGCTCTGAGTTCAAGCTCCAATACAAAACCAGTATCGCCCTCCATCCACCTCCCAGAATAAGATTTCTCTTCCTAGCCTGAAGCTGCTGCTCTGACCTGGGTTATTCCTGCAGCTAAGCAGACTCTGAAGAGAGTGGCAACTTCAAGAGACCCCTGCCCTGCCTTCCACTTAGGACTCTAGCAGCCATCTGCCTCCCTAGGAGCAGCACC